TATTCGCTATAAAATCGTTATCTTTCTATTATTTCAATGTAGCAAGGCTCAGTGATCGTGGGCTGCACTGCACAAATCGCTTGAGTCAGGCATTTCAACCCCTGCGCCAAACGACCTACGGTACACGTTTTATATTATAAGAAACTGGTTTATAAGAAAATACTACTAGGATGGCCAAAAGTTTAAGAAACTTTAGTATTAGGGTCAAGAAAAATTAAGAAACTGTAAAATTTATATTTTTAAGAGCGTAAATTATGAGTACCGAGTTCTATTTGGAGACGGCTCCGAGGACTATATAATACTTAATGATGGTGTAAAGACGATTTTACTATAGATCATTTTAGCTAACCGTTTTGCCCATAGTTTTTCTAAGTTTTTTTGTTGATTTTTCTTTGGAAAAGATTCTTCATTAAATGCTCAACTTCAATTTCCGACAACTTTAGCTCCTGAGATTAAGAATCCAACTAGGAAACTTTCAGTTCTCAAACGCAACAAATTGGATGCCAAAATAAGAACTTTTTAGTATCTAGTTCTGATCCAAGTTTCTGATAGGAAAAATGTGTACCTCTTAGACACCACTCTGACTTGCAAACAAGGGAGTAGCTATATCTGGCAGTAAAAGGTCAGCATTTTTGACAAAAAAGCCTATACTAATTTGTCTAAACTTGGTAAAACCAGTCAAATCGAGGGGGTGGGAGATAAGAGTTTCGGTGGATCTCGCCTTCAATCAACATCCTTGATGTAGGCCTTCATCTTTGATAATGGTACTTTAAAGTTTTAATCTTGTCATTGGATATCATTTCTGTCCTACATCGCCTCACTTCAGTACTCAAAATATTCGTACTTTGAGAAGTTAAATTTCTAATATATCAGGTGAGAAATATAAGAGTTTTGTGCGATTATAATAGGTGATAATGAAAACAAGAAGCTCAACAAGAGTTTGTATTTTAATTGAATACCTAGAGACAATTTGTTAATATCACATTCCCTACCTACTTAAACCTTTTCACTCTCCTTTTCTTATAAACCGCATATCCATTCTTTTATACCCATTATATTACCGTTAAAAGCTATCCAATAATCATACATTCTTCTTAAAGCGTTTCTAGGAACCAACTCTGTGCCCAGTTCCACTGGATGATTGAAATAAAAACCAGGCTGCCACTAAACTATTTCCACAATCAAAGCTGAAGCCCCTTTCTAAAATTCTAGTTCAATCTAACTTTAAGCAGGGCTACAAAAGCTCCAGAGCAACAAAGTACAGAATAGCTCTTCCTTGTTCCTCCATGCTCAAAAATAATTTTGCCTTTAACTAACTAATTTTCTAGATAGAGCAAAGTCGCAAAACATCTCATTTATTTTGCAATCAAAAATAGAGCAGTATCTTAAAACTCTAAGGAACTAGTGTGTATATTATTCCTCATGCCTAATCGAATTTTACAGCAACAAAAACAATATTCTCATAAGGTTACATATGCTTAGAAATTCACTATAAAATCAAGCTAAAAATACTCACGAAGATCGTGATCTGTCGTCTTTCGATCGCTTCTCCATTCCTATGAAACCAGCACTTAATTGGGCACGTAACAACTTTTTGCTGTCTTCTGGAGTATCACTCTGAAAAGGCATTAGCAAGACCACTGTCTTTAAAAAACCTCACAACAATCATACAATTTATAGTTGTTGCACGTTACAAGATTAAACTTTGTCTTGCTTTTATTTAGGCCTGGTTTTTCAGGAGGCATGCTGGTCTAGAATAAACTACCAAGCAATTTTCGAATGAGGCAAAAGTTCGATTTTCGATGAATGAGTTCTGCAGAATGCCAGACACTTCCTTGTTCCTCTTCGAATGACAAATTCCTGGCTATTAACTCTGTGGTTTTTACGCAATATCAGAATCTTGAAAGTTACGAACCGGCAAGTGTCATAGTGAATGATCGATTTAACATTCTACCATTATCTACCATTATCTACCATCTCTTATCAAAATTCCCCGTAGAGATTGACAAAATCAGTAAAAATGGGTTTTTCCCCATACTGCAGGCATAAACGTAAAATCAAATTTACACTGTAGTTAAAAAATCTTATGCATATTGATAGCATCGTGCATAAAAAGTAGAGAGCTTGACAAAATGGTTCTGGCAAAGATCAAAGTGACAGCAGTGTCAGTCCGTGACATTTGTATACAATATAAAATTTTCGTTACATCTTGGAAAGAAACATGAATATTCATTTCCATGAAGCAACTAAAAAATTATATTACGAAAATCAAATCTGGTTTGGCTATAGTTGCTTTTTGAAATCATCGCACAAAATATCATCTATTAAGGGGCCGCAGGGAGGGGGGTGGCTAAAAGTTTTCGAGTGAATTTTTTGTACAAAAAAGTGCGGCAAGTACGAAAAGCGCGGCAAGTACGAAAAGTGCGACAAGTACGAAAAGTGCGACAAGTACAAAAAGTGAGACACACAAAAAGTGTGACAAGTACGTAAAATGCGAAAAGTGCGACAAGTACGAAAAGTGTGACAAGTTATGAAAGTTTACGAAAGGTACCGAAAGTTTGCTATGCTCCCTTCTTTTCGTGCGACCTCCTAACATTGCGGTAGCATATATTTATTTGGTAAGATATGCTTTTAAAATCTTTGAACTTTGAACATTTGTTCTTAAATAGCATTATGGAAAAAGCCAAAAGGTAAAAAAGCATAAAGTGTATGTGAAAAAACGGTACAAGTTGGCTGAGATAATGGCAATTGAAATATTTTCAAATTTTCTAAAGGATTACCGTAGTTTTAGATTGGTCCGTCGAATTTAGAACCAAGACCAAAAAAGTGACTTGATCGGGAAAATGAATGAGTTCATTGGGCTGTGTGTCAGGCAAAATTATCGTCCCTTTCAATGATTTGTTTGACTATTTTAAACTCTATTTCAGGTGATATTATCAAAATTCAAACATCAGGTCATCACAATCTGATTCTATACAAAGGAAAAGTAAAGGCAAAATGCACAATGAATTAAATTAGAATAAAATTAAAAAAAAATTAAAAGTATATCTGCGGGAAGATTTTTAAGAAGAAATGCAAATAACTCACCGCTGTTACATCTTGATTGCTCTTTGACATCATCAGGCCAAGCTTCTTTCGTAGGCCTAGAAGATGGCGATAAATTCAAAATGATTGAAATTGAGGCACAGCCACATTTAAAGTTTTTAACTGAGCCCTATCATGATAACAAACGGTAATAAAAAAGCAGGTACACGGAAAAATAATCAGCAAATTGTGTACAGCGTCACAAAAACGCCGATAAGGGCCTTAATGCAAAATTTATTCGGATTTTTACATCGAAAAGCTGTAGCTAATGGTGTAACGGAGTACTGAAATTGCGTATTCTTTTCTACACTTTAACAAATTGCTGCTCAGAGTAGAATCCATATTAAAAAATTAATTTCCACTAAAACTTAACTGTAAATTGAGATTTTTAAGGATGGCTGTACAATACTGAAGTTTGAATGACATTTGTTTGTGGGTCGGGAAATCTTATGAAGAAATAACGCAAGCGTGCAGGAAACAACTAGTAATTGTGACTGCAGATGAACGTAGATAACAATGAGTTATGTCACAGTAGCCTGTGAGGCCTTTGCAAACAAAGGCAGGATAAAACAAGGTCTTCCTTTCAATATAAGAAACAGAACTTCCCCTAAAAGAGAACAATCTCCCCAATCAGGTAGGTCTAGAAGCAACGCTAAAACAAGTGATTCTGCCAACGGACAACATTTTTTAGACAACCCAGATTGTGCCAAAATCGCCTTTTCATCTAGCAGTTTTGTGCCAGAATCGATCTTTATACAAAAAACCGTTATTGCGTAGACAGAGGGAGTCCGTTTTCTCTCTTGGCCTCCAGTGCTGATTTTTTGATAGGCACTCGGTACTGATTGGACAACTATACCGGTCATGTGCTCGCGTTTTTCTGATTGGCTTATTTCGACCCGCAACTGTATATATTTTCCATTTTGTTCATTTGGACATTTATTCTGATGTTTTATACTCTGAGGAGTGTCAGACAAAAAAGCAATTGATGTTAAAAAGTGTTTGGTTTTTCAAACTTATTACCGCCAAAAATTTTTTCATATTTATGTTTTAAAAGAAAAATTATCGTCCAATTTCAGGCTTACTACAAAACAGCGTCTGATATTTTTCGAAAAAAAAACGTTGTACCCCAAGGCTCTGTGCCTGGACCATTAGCATGCAATCTTTCCTCAATGAAACCATCAAATCAATGCCAAATCTCTCGAAACACTAACGCCAGTTTTTAAGAATTCAGATATCCCACTCTAACGACTTAAATAAAGTGGGCTTACTACAAAAGCACCGAAGACATTTGGAAGCATGTTTTTTGCAAGAAAACAAAAAACCATGCATCTAATCAAGGCTTTGTTCTGGATCATTTTCATTCAAAGTTTTCCTTTATGAAACCATCCAATCAATCCCAAAAATTTTGAAACACCTCCATCAATTTTCAAGAAATCAGCTATTAAGAATATATCAGGAAGTACGATTATTCGTGTAAAGTGTCTAATTTTTATCTAGCTCAAACAATCAACACGCCAACAGCGGGGGTAAGGTTGTGGGGTAGGGGGTGGCAAGAGAGCGAAGTTGACTGAATTTACTCAGTCATTGGCATTTACGGATGATGTGTGAAAAACTGTTGTTAGAATTTTGGAATTAACTAAATTGAAAGAAACACAATAGATACTGCATGAAGTTGCAATAACCCGGTAGAGTCTTTACGCAGATCGCACACTGAAAGCCAGCGGAGCGGGGTTAAGGGGGCTGGGGCCATTGGCCCTCTTGCGACGAGATATTCAGCTAAGTGATGGGTAAAATAGACCACTAAA